TTAAATTTCAAAACTCACATTTTAATTACTGATTTTATCTGTTTTGATTTTATATACTGTTTTGTTTGTTTGTTTGTTTGATTTAATCAATTTTAAATCCTGCTTTTTATTTGTTTTTGTTTCTAATGTCTCTGTAAAGCACTTTGAATCACCTTGGTGTTGAATTGTGCTATACAAATAAACTTGCCTTGCCTTACTGTCAGCGTCTGGCTGGTCAGTGAGGAACATGTGACCAGATGTTAATGAGTTCCTGCTATAGCAGGTTTTTCACAGAGCTGTGGACAGCAGAGTGGATGTGACCAAGTCCACGGTGAGTCAGACTGAAAGCTAAAAGTTCAGCTACACCAGTTTGCACAATAGTTGCCTTAAGCTTGTGTGGTATGAGAAATATACATGATAGTGAGAAACGTGTGTTATTGGTCTGTGATTGTGCAAATACAACGTAAAGTAAATAATGACAGTGATTGTGAATACTAAAGGGACTGAAGGCATGGCAGCGGACAGAGTGCTGCAGGGAGCACGAGCATGACTGCAGAGCGTTTGTTAGTCGACAGCAGACAGGCAGGAGTCCTGGTTGCAGGTCTGAGGTCGGTCTCAGTGCTACAGACCTGCAGTCGGCTCGATGCTCCTCAGAGATGGAGCTGGTTTTGGAGAAGAACCTGGACTTCCTGCTTAGACCCAGAGACGACATGTGGTGGCTGAGGAAAGAGCGACTCCTAGTGGTCAAGATGCAGGACAGCACAGCGAGAGAGAGAGAGGGGAGGGAATCGGTGGTTAAATCAGAGACAGAACCGACACCAAGACACCCAGATGAGGAAAAAAAACCCAAACAGAAAAAGAGCCCGAGATAAGAGGAAGAAAAAAACATAACCAGAGGTGAGAGTAGGCGTCCACGGTGGTGTGATTTGTTGAAAATCACCACAACTGGAAAATCCTCCCGATTATTCTGCCATCATGACAATAATCACCTTTAAAAATATTTACACCTGTTTTTAAATCATCAATCACTTAAATAAAACAAGAAAACTTAGAATGTTTAGGCCGGGGGTGGGGCTCTCCAGGCCTCGAGGGCCGGTGTCCTGCAGGTTTTAGATCTC